TGCTGATTTTTTTTACAAGGTAATTTCAGGCAAGTGTGCCACAGAGCACACTTTGGGAAACACTGGCCTAGGGGATGTCTTGGAAAAGCTGGTCTGGGTAGTCAGTGAGTGCCCTGGCCAAGAGACTGTGACATCACTTGGAGGACAGGTCTGTGAATTCTGGACTTGGGATAACACAGATGGAATTTGTCCCTCCTCAAGGGTACAATGCTGGACAACCACACCTGCCCACCAAACACCACAGTGTTTCCCTTCTGCCAGCCCTGCAGTTCCTGGTCCCCCACACTCAATGTTCATCCACTGATACCCCCACCATCAAAACAGTAACCATCCTGCCAGGCCCCCATCTATGGAGCCTACCTCTGCCACCCCACCCCAACCTTCCAGCCTCACAATAGCCAAGAGCCATAAGCCCAAGTCTCAGTCTGATTCTAACTGGTTGTTTGACCTATGACAGTACACTCCAGGATATAAAGGCTCCTTTTGGCTCAAAAAATTTATTTGTTATAGTCTGCACCCTTCAGGGGCTATAAGTTCAATGAATCGAAGGGAAAATAAACTCAGCAATTTGTGAAGCTGTGATACCTACCATTACAAGAAGCCTGCTAAGTGCCTGGTGTTTGCAGGGTGCTATATGCCCATTATTTCCACTCCCTATAAGAACCCTACAAAGTAAGCAACAGTATGCTCTTGGTATAGGGGAAGAAATCAAAGCTCAACCTGGTTGGCAGTTCAAGATGCCCTCTAATAAATGTGAAATCCACGATTTGAACTTGGGTTTGTCTGATTACAGAGTCTGTACTAAAGTATGCCTTCCCATAAAGATAGCCAGGGGCCAGGCATGGTGGCTCACACCTGCAATCCCAGCACTTTGGGAGGCCAAGGCTGGTAGATCATGAGGTCAGATCAAAACCATCCTGGCTGACATGGTGAAACCCCATCTCTACTAAAAATACAAAAATTAGCCGACATGGAGGCATGCACCTGTAGTTGCAGCTACTCAGGAGGCTGAAGCAGGAGAATTGCTTGAACCCATGAGACAGAGGCTTCAGTGAGCTGAGAACACGCCACTGCACTCCAGCCTGAGTGACAGAGCAAGACTCCGTCTCAAAAAGAGAGAGAGAGAGCCAGGAATGAGAAGCACAAGCTCTCTGGACAAGGGCAGGTCAGCGGGAGCTCCCCTGTGACTGGGACCCAAGAACTCCTCCTAGGTCACCCCAAGTGATCTGCTCAAAAAGGAGTATCTGAAGGTCATCCGGTGCAACTGATCCCCAGGACAGGATGAGATGAGGCACCAGGGCCAATCTGGAATCAAGAGCTCCATGGCACTGAAGCTCCAGCCCTGATTGAATGCATCAGGCCAGACCCTGGGTAATTACCAAGCTGTAATGGGATCTGATATTTATATTAGTCACGAGCCTGACAGAGAAAACGTGTTGTTTTCTCAGGCAGAGCCATGGAGACAACATCTCGATAATTCATTACACACAGACCATCTTTGATCAAGCCCAGGCTTCTACAAGGACAACAGCTCAAATTGAGAATAGAAATAACTCTATTCCCAGCCACACTCAGGCCCTTCAGCAAACCACAGCTCCATCAGGAAGTTGGCCTTGGTTTCCCCAGATATTTAATGAGAAGTGGACCATATGATGGAAGATGAGCAGAAGGTAGAAATAAAGATACATAACTGTTCCAAGACTGAATTCCTAGAGGAATTGCTGGGGAATTGCAAAACACATTCTGAGCTAGAAACTTTAACCCTCATTCCTCAACTCCTCTCCCTCTCCTATATCAAATCACAGAGCAGGAAGGGACATTAGAACTCACAGAATTCAATTCCCACATTTTATATACAAGGAAAGAGAGACACCAGAGAGGTTAAATAACTTCTTCAAAGTCATGGTTTTATTCAGGTTACCAGAGGAACTCCCTATTCAATATAGTCTACGACAGGATCGAACTTTACAATGTCACAGCCAAGTGAATAGAGAGCTCTGATAAAATCCAACAAGCCAAAAAACAATAATGCAAAAAATTACAGCAAAGAACACTGGAATGACTGTGACCAAGTTCCCAACAGAAGGAAATTGTCATGTTTTCTTCTTCACTTCTGAAAAAGTGCACATGCTACTCTTTTCAAAAGAATAAAGTCATTCCCTATTTGAGATTCAGAGGCCAAAGGTACCAAGGAAGAGATGTCCCACTATGCACGTTCACAGTCTTGGGTTCCTTTGATGAAAAAGGTTGGTGCAATTCCAGAGACCAAACGCTCATGAAATCGGAGTTCCTTGCTGAATTTTATCTCCCACAGAACTTTGGATGCTACAAAAGGCCTCCTTTCCTCTGGACTCCAGCTTTTGATCAAACCATCTTGGGGCTGAAGGAGGGTGAGGGTGAACCCATCTGAGGGCTGGTAGAATTTTCTAGAAAAGCAGCCTATGTTTTTCTTGAGAAATCTAGCACAAAAGTTATTATTCTAAACTTAAGCCAAATACATGCATGTGCATCAAGTCTTGAGAAAACTACCAAATACTTGGAAAGCAAAAAGAATGAAAAAAATACAATTGCAATAAAAACACAAACCTCAAGGGTAGAAAGAGAAGCTTTTAAAATGCCTGACTTACCATTATTGCTTAGAATGAGCTGGCTACCTATGCTTTAAGTGAGCAAATCTAGGGGCAGTTATCAAGAGATTCTGGGCATGCTTTAAAACGGACTCATGGTATCAAAAGGAACCGGTACTCATTCGAAACTGGCCTCACATCTTCTGAACCAACCACCATCACCTCTCATCGCTGGCAAATTTCTTATAGCAACTAAGTTCCAGTTATGTTCACTCAGAGGGTCTTGGAGCTACAAAATATAGCCAAATATTTACGGATTGTTTTTTCTAATCATTGCCAAAAACCTATTTCCTTGAGTAAACTGACAGAAGTTATGCTTGCTCATCATTTAGGAGATCCTTTGTGTGTGTGATGGGATTAGCATTTCATTACAGGCACTGCAATCGCATTTCTGTACCCACTAGCGTAAAAAGATCTTGGAAGCTGTGTTTAAGACTCCAGGATCACAAAAACACCATGAGTTATTTTGAATAATTGAAAAAGTTTTCATTGTGATCAAAATTGCCCACTGCCTGAAAAAAAGCAAGCTGTTAAAAAGTTCACCCAGATCACTCCATCTAGGGAACATTTCAGATCTTTCCCCTAAAGACAGTTGCTGAACCTCAGTCCACCGGGGAACAAAATTCCTGAGACTGTTGGGGGAGGTGGAAGAGAGGGATGGAGAGAGGGAATGTGGGAATTTGAAAGCTCCAGAAAGAAACTGTCTCAAGGATCCAGCAGGAGGGTTAGGCAGGGATCTGGTGTATAGGGCTTTGCTTAACCTGTGGGTGTCTCTGGAAAGTGGCAGGTTTTCCTAGTTAACAAATAAAAAGGAATTTCTACAGCTGAGAAGGTAATTCCAAAGAAAGCTCTCTGGCCAACACCTGCAGGCCTCCGAGAAGCCAGAGAATGAGGATAAGAATGATGGTTTTCATATTTCTCCCTTTGTTCCAATACACCGGTATTTTCCAAAACACAAATGTGCTGCCACAAAACACAGCTGAGCTCCAGCACCCAATAGGATGTATAATTAACGATCAGGAGAGAGAGCCTCGGTTCCCCCTGGTGTTTTCATAGCCAGCCTTCACCCATAGCCCCTGACTTCCCTACTTCTCTCAGCCCCCAAGGAGGCTTCTACAAGTTGCTGTGCCCTATGGAAGTTTGAGGGGGTCCTCAGATTAACCTTAGTAGAAAAGATGTGAACATGTGGGGACTGCGATGTGCATCCACCTTGCACTATTCACCTGGATATCCCTTCCCTCCAAAACGGTTAGTGCTGTGAAGTCCCATCGGATGGGAATTCCTCAGAAAGAAGGCAGCTGGGTCACTCTCTTTTTTCCAGTTCGTTCTTCTTTATTCTGCAATTTTCTATCAAACACCATCGGGTCCCCCATTCCAGCCAGCGGCTACGGGGAAGGGAGGACATCTCTAGGGACACGAGTACAGACCAGGCAGTGAGCCTAGCAACCATACATCGAAGGTGTCGCGAGCCTCAGTGCTGGTGGGCGTCGGCGCCAGGAATAGCTAAAGCCGACGACATCTAGCCACCTCGAGCGCCAGGGAAGAAACTCCGCGTAAAACCGCGGCCTCAGGCGGACCCCCGCTCCAGCTTCGCGCTGCTGGGCATTTCCGGGGACCCAAAGTGGGTGGCCTGGGGGCAAAGGAACAGAGGCTGAAGAACTTGGCGTATGTTCCACTAGAACACCTAAGGGACGGAGTGGGAGGTGACAACAGATTTGCGACCTCGACACGTTCTGAATGTGGCAGCCTCATGGGCTGCCCCCAATACTGGGATGGATCTCCCCAACTTCTCTCGCCCTCGAAGTCCCCCCACTACCTCGGGCCATGCTCCTCCCCCGGGATTCCCTTGTGCAAAATTATTCTCGCCCCTGCCCAAAGAATTTTCTTTTCTATCTGATCCCACAAACTCATTTCCCCAACAGGTTCCTAAAGTATGGGCGGATGTGCTCCCTCTCGCCCACCGACAGGAGCCGTGACCCGACAGGTGAGCGGTGCAGAACACGCACCCAGCGGCCCCCAGCTTCCTCCGTCCAAGCGGGGTTGGCTCTCCCCACCCCGCACCACGGCACCCGAGCCCGAGGGTCCCCCACCCCTGCCCCAGCCGCAGCCAACAACCCTACAATAAACAAGAAGACAGGATTGGGCATCCGCGTCCGGGAGCGCACTGGCTGGGGGCAACTCCTCACCCTCGGCGCGCCGCCCGCTGCCCGGATCCGAGAGCACCGGGAGAGCGGAGGAAAGGGAAGGCGGCCGGGGGAAGGCAGGCGGGATGAAGGGAGGCACGGCGCGGCACCGAGCGAGGAGGTGGGCTGCAGGGGAAGCCGAGAAACGGCGGAGCTGGCGCAGAGGGCGGGCGCCCGGGGCGCGCGTTACCTTCGTCTTGCCCCCGCAGTGGCAGCACACGGTCCACAGGTACTTGAGCGTCCGCCAGAGCAAGATGATGAAAAGGCCCCCGAAGAAAGTCACCATGGAGGAGGCTAGGAAAGCCCACCACATGCGTTGGCCCCGGCTGTCGCACGGCACCTCCATGGTCACCGGGATGATGAGCGCATCCATCTTGGGCTCGTGGACCGAGGACGAGGAGGAAGAGGAGGAGGAAGAAGAAGAGGAAGAGGAGGAGGAGGACGCGTCTAGGCTGAGATGGTTCGCGTGGATATTGCTACTCATTCTAAGACTGCTGCCTCCGCCGCCGCCGCCGCCGCCGCTGTTGCCGCCGCCGCCGCCGCCACCATTTGCCATAGCTAGCAACGGGCAGCCGGCGCAGGGGCTCGGGGGAGCTCCTCCCGCCGCCAGCGCCACCCCGAACACCCATCAACAGCCATATTGCTGCTACTGCTGCCGCCGCTGCCGCCGCGGAGCGCGGGAGGGGGGCGGGGAGGCGCCTGGGCTCGGGGCGCTGTGCGCGACCTGGCGGGGTGCGCCGAGATATATACAGCGAGCCGCCGCCGCCCGCCCTCCCCCCGGCCGCCGGCCCGCCCGGGGGGGAGGGGGATGGAGCGCGCGGGCAGCTCCCCCTCCCCGGCCCGCGCCCCGCTAGCCCCGGGTTGCGCTGGCCCCGAGCGCCGAGAGCCAGGGGGCGCCGCGGGCCGCCCGCGCCCGGGGTCTGCGCCGCCCCCGGGCCCGCCCTGGCTCCTCGCGCGGGCCCGGGTGTCCTCGGCGCCGCGCCGCCTGCTGTGCGCCACTGGTGTGCGCTGCGCTCCGGCCGGGGACCCCCCTTCCCCGCGCGCCTCCCGCAAGGCTAACGAGCCGCTCTAGGCTTATTAGGCGGCAACTCGTTAATAATGGATAATCGGCCCCCTCAGCCCGGGCGCCCCCACCCCAGCCCTCCTCCCCCGGGCTGCTCTCGGCTCTGGCTTGCCGCCCCAGTGCGCGCCCGGCCGCGGCAGGTTCACCGCGTCCGGCCGCCGGGCCGTGGCCGCCTGCTAGCCCATGCTCCCGGGACCCCCGAGTCCTGTCGCCACGCTGGCAAGCGTCCTCGGCCTCGGCTCGCTCTTCCTCCTCGCCGCCTCCGACTCCTCCTCGTCCCCGTCCTTGCCGCCAGAGCCTCTTCGGCGCGCGCCCCGCGCTCCCCTCAGCCGCCAGCAGCTGCAGCTGCAGCAACTGGAGCGGGCGCGGGCTCTGGACGCCCGAGGCGGGAGGGGAAGAGGCTCGCCGCGCTAGTTCGCCTGGGCTCCGGACTGGGCACGGGCGGGCAGGGCCCCACCGCAGCTGCCTGACAGGCTCCCCAGACTCCCAGGGCGCAAGGTAGAGCGCCCCCAGCCCAGGTGCAGGGCCAGACGCCTCTCTCCAAAGTGCTGCGCCCCCAACCGAGCGCGGTGGGGTACCCCAGGAGGATGGCGGGGCGCCCTGGGCAGGCCGTTTTTTCCCAAAGAGCCCCAGAGGGGAGGGAAGGAGTGGCCATATGTCAACTAGATTCCACAGGCTGAGCGCCCCAGAACTTTCGGGCTTCGGGAGTGAGGAGGACCCTACGCCAGGATACACACAGCTACCCACCCCTACTTCGCTCTTCTCCCTGCTTCCTATGTGCCCAGTGTCCCGCGTGTGGTTGGAGGGCAGGGTCAGGGAGGCCGGCGGGTGGTCTGTGGCCTCTGACAGCAGCAGGTGGTTTTCTCCTTTTCCTTTATTAGCGACAAAGGCTGCCCAATAGAGAGTAGGCAGAGATCATCAGGGCGAGCTGGCTGGGGTCGTGCAGGCCGGATAGACAACAGAGTTCCCTAAAGGGTTGCTTTCCTCTTGTATAGTCCCGGACTTCATCCATCATGTGAGGAGGACAGATGGGGGAAGGGGGACTTCAGGCTTCATTCCAGCTCACTGCTCCCTATTTAGGGTCTTCCCTTTTCCCACTTAAGATGAAGAAGTCCGTGTTTGTTCCTTAGCCTCTCTCAGTACACCACCCGGGGAATCCCCCTTCCGACACTTGCAGAAATTTTGCACCCCCTGGACACTGTCCCTCCTCGTGCTACCAGCTGGACCACAAGTTTTCCCAGCGCTGATTAAATTGAAGATGATCACGCTCTCCCCTCATTGCTGCAGTGGTTTCCCCAAAGTTTCCAGCTCTTTAGTTTAGGCCTAACTGGAATTCTCAGGTTCCTTTCAGCTCTTCCCGTGGAAAAGGCCCAAGTTAGCATCCTTAGCTTTACACCTGCAGCTGTCTCCTCGGAGTCTGATCAGCTCTGCCCTTGTCCTTGGAGGTCTCTGGAAGGAAGAGCGGCAAGGGAGGCTGAGCTTGGCAAAGAGGCTGAAGACAATGTTTGAAGCCTCCCTCTTGCTTGATTCAGAATGCATTCATTGGGTTTAGGGTACACTTCCACTAAGAGTCAAGGCACAAGTCGAAGGAGAAAATGGAATGAGGTAAGAGTTCTTGAGTACTTAGTTCTCAAAAAGCAGTATATGTAGGAGGGAGCTGCAGAGAGTGTTCTCCAGAAAATGGAATTGTGTGAGCCTCCTCTCTGTACCGTCCCATAGTACCTCCAACCTTGGCCTCTGTGTTCAGCCACTCTAAATGCATCCCTGCCACACCAGTCCCAAGCATGCAGAGGCCCTAGGGCTGAGGGAGCTGGACCCAGGAGTGCTGTGGGGATGCACAAGAAGGTGACTGTGGCATTGAGGTTCCTTTATTTATTAGCCTTCTCAGTGGCTGTACTTTGCTGTCTTTGTACCATATCATATGCCAAGAAAGTTAAGGACATTCCTTAAATCAAGGCCAAGATTCGAAATTTAAAAATAAGGCACTCAGAACATACAAAGAGTAGCAAAGGATAGGGCTGTCTCCTCAGTGGGATATGAAACCTCCAGAATGGATTCCCTTACCCAAACAATTGAAATTTTGCAAAACAGAAGATGTAGGGCCTTTTCAGACATCCCCTACAGCCTGGATTCCCCTGAAATGCTAGTCTGTAGCTACTGGTAAGCAGCTGATGGCTTTGGCTTCTGTAACCCCAGCTGCAGAATCCATAGCTTTTTCTCCTCCTTCATCACCTTCATCACCTCAGCATCTTTGGAGAGGGTGTTGGGAGGCCCCTCAGATGGGGGCTGCTGCTTCTGCTTCCTTCATCACCCCTGCCTCTGCTGATTGAAGCTCTTAGCAAGCTGCAGAATCCATAGCTTTTTCTCCTCCTTCATCACCTTCATCACCTCAGCATCTTTGGAGAGGGTGTTGGGAGGCCCCTCAGATGGGGGCTGCTGCTTCTGCTTCCTTCATCACCCCTGCCTCTGCTGATTGAAGCTCTTAGCAACTTCTACACTATCCAAGATCTCGGCTCAGGATTCATCAGAGAACATTGTTGAAGTCAGTGTTTTCCCCCTTCCTACAATCCCCAGTCTCTCACCACCTCCCTGAATGGCCTAGCTGGTAGGCACTGAGAGAGTGCCACCATCCACCAGAAACAGACATTGCCAGACCTTTGCCCAGTTCTCTCTGGCCATTTCCACATTGTTAACAAAGTTTTGCACCACTTCCAGAAAACTTGGCACCTGGCATTACCAATCGAGGAAAAGCCTCTGCACAGACAAAATGGAATCTCAAACTTAAAAGGAAACGTAGGTATCTTTGATATGATGTGTTTCTTATTTATACAATCAAAATAAAACCAGAAACTGCCCTGCCTACCTCTAAGGGTTATGTGTGAGGATGAAAAAAAAAGGCTGGGTGTGGTGGCTCACGCCTGTAATCCCACCACTTTGGGGGATTGAGACAGGTTGATAACCTGAGGTCAGGAGTTTGAGACAAGCCTGGCCAAAAGGGTAAAACCCCATCTCTGCTAATAATACAAAAATTAACTGGGCATGGTATCACATGCCTGTAATCCTAGCTACTTGGGAGGCTGAGGCATGAGAATCGCTTTAACCTAGGAGGCGGAGGTTGCAGTGAGCACCACTGCACTCCAGCCTGGGTGACAGAGTGAAACTGTGTCTCGAAAAAAAAAAAGAAAACATCATACAGATCTTGGCTGTCATTACTATAATTCAAAAAATGGACAGCCAAAGTTTAACTACATCTTCTGACCCCTGAGCTCATACTTGCATGGGCACATGCCCCCATGCCATGCTGTTCACAGCATGTCCACAACCAGGCTATGGCCAGAGTCCAGGGCACAGCAGAGCCCCTCCAGCCTGAATGGGCTCTCTGACTACCCAACATGCCCACTCCTTGTCTTGCCAATCCCTGGACAGCCTTGGAAATGGGAAAGGTGTAGAGAAGCACTATTAGCCCAGCACATCTTCCCCTAATGTGGGAGTGTCTGCAGGCTGGAAATTGACATCTGTTGCACAAGAACTGAAAGCCCCAACAAAAGTAGAAACTTCACCCTCTGTTCTGAAAACACTGTGAGCCACTTATTTTTATTTCTAAATGCAATTAAAAGCTTCCTAGAAAGGAAGGCAACCTGTGTACCATGTGCATGTGTGTCTATGGCAGCTCTCAAAGCAAATCAGAGGTTTCAAGTTTAAGTATTCTGATCTGAACAATCCTGATTTAAAAGAAATAAAAGGAATTGCATAAACATACATACTAAAAAAGCAGAGTGACTAAAATAAAAGCCAAGGAGAACAAGAAAGGTTATTTACTGAAAAGTTGGCCCAGCCTCACAATTACTGTGCAATGGATTTTCTTTTCCTCCAAGCTGGACCCAGTTCCAATACTCTGACATCAATCTTGGTGATTTTGCGATGGAGAAGCCAGGTGGTGACTCTTTAAATGATATATCGCCCTCTGGTGGATTTTCCTGGCCCATGACATCATTTCATGAATGTTCAAAAAAGGGGCTTAGTTTAACGGTCTGAAATATAAGATATGAAAATTCCAAAGAGGAAAACCCTGCTGGAAAAAACTACAGGGATTAGGGAGGTGGCATGGATCAGGACGATGTTGGTCAAAGAATACAAAGTTTCAATTAGGAGGATCAAGAGATCTAAGTATGCAACATGGTGACTACTGTGGATAGCAATGTTTTGTATACTTGAGAACCACTGAGAGAGTTTAAGTCTTCTCAGCACAGATAAATGATAAGTATGTGAGGTAATACATATGTTAATTTATTTGTTTATTTAGTCCTTCCACAATGTATATGTATTTTGAAACATCATATATACCATAAACACATTTTGTCCATGTTTTTAAAAATAAATAAGGAAAAAAATGATAAACAAGAACAATAAAACCCTACAGCTTCAGCAGAAGGAATTAACCTGTTACCAGTTCTACCAGCACATAAACTGTTTTGGATAAAGGCAGCTGACAAAGTTCACATCATTACCATGACTTGATGACAGACCTCAACTGTTACTGCCCCCAGTAACCCTGACCTGCCTTGAATCACCACTGTTTTTTTTTAAGTCAGCAGTATCCCTTCTAATCACCCTTGGTCTTTACAGTCTCTTTGTGAAGTAAAAAAGGGCAGTAGCAGCTAGGTGCGGTGGCTCACGCCTGTAATCCCAGCACTTTGGGAGGCCAAGGAGGGTGAATCACCTGATGTCAGGAGTTTGAGACTAGCCAGGCCAACATGAGGAAACCCCATCTCCACTAAAAATACAAAAATT